TACCTACTGACTCGAAATCGTCTTTTTCACATTGATTTTCTCCGTAATCTCCTTATTATGTCTTATTTTTTTCGAAACTGCCAATTTAAATTCTCGGTTTTTAAGAGCTTATCATTACTTTTGGGGCAAACAAGAATATTAGTTTGAGAACTGAGAAATTAAAAGTGAATTCTTCTCGGACATTAATTAATGTCAATAAACTACAAGAACTCATTGAATCTGAACTTGAATTTTGCCACGTTAAAATATCACAAATCAATAACTTACAAAGAACAAGAAAAGAAAGTTCTAGACTTTCGCTACTAATCTCTTCCACTTAATTAATAGAAACACTAAATTGTATTCTAAGATTTCTCGGATATAAAAATACAATAAATTATTTCTTAACAATATCATCATTAACAACATACCTATTGTTCTACATTAACCTTTAAAACATCACAATTAAATTTTAGAATAGAATAACATCAGCCATTATTATCTCACACGGCACATAAATATTCAATCACGCCAGGTTCTCATGTTACCACGATGACATGAACTTGAGATCATATGATGATAATATTAATACGACTACCATGATAAAATAACTGAGATTTTAAATATAATTTATTGTAAGCTATCTCATAATACTGCTAACATTATGACATTCTGTAACACACACTTTATTTATTGCTAAAAGTACTTTATGATATAAATGTAGACCTAGAATCCAAGTCGTTGTTGTGTGACCACTGGGGACACTCGATAACAATACAGGCACATATTAATATCTCCATTTACACATCTATACCTTGGTGTATTTATTACTGAGCACTGGGACAAACAATGTTATAACTGGGCCACATTTCAAACGAATTTCGATCTACTTTAACAGAGACTAAAGCTACAAGATTGCAATCTGCATTACCTGACGTTATTCATAGCATGAAGACCTAATAACACCATTTTTTTCCACTGCGCATGCGGCCGTTGATACAAATTCGCGAACCAAATTGTACCAGGCTGGGGGTGAAAGTAGACGTGCTTTCACTGCGTTCAGTGTTCAGATAAAATAATTTTTAGCTCGTGACATTCTATAAGATCAGATGATACGCAGCGTAAAAGCCCTAACCGGTGTTTAAAATTGATACATAAAACTTAGTTGCCACAAATGTTACGCCCACTTGCAATGAATTACCATTTATAATGCAATAACGGTGTTTAAACTAAGAAATGTTTGTTCCACATGGAGTAATATAAATTGACAGTGACAAAATTAAACGCTCCGCATTATAGTATTCGTCAGCCTGCAGCGATAAAAATGATGGATTGGGAAGTCTCGTGCAGTGAGATCGGAATGACATTCATTAATATCATTGGAACATCCAACATGTGTTAATCCTGCTAAATGTTATCCAAATTGTAGATTGTTACTAAGAACTGGTCACTACTTAGCATCAGCATTAAGTAAATCATTGGTCACGATCATCTATCTAAGCATTATTGTATTCACACGAATTCAACAAATGTGTGTAGATCCACAGTAAAAATTAATGTCCTTCATTTTTCATTTACAAACTCTAAAGTATACTTTATGTATATTGTACTAAGTAGCATTTTGTGTACTCGCAGCTAGTCTATGTTTAGACAGCGAAATTATCATTTCCGTCAAAAAATAATAATGTCGCTGTTGAGTTGCTCATAGAGAAGCTTGTCTAAATATTTCATATTAGTATCATGAATTGGAAACACATACCGTTTCTTAACAAAATGATTGAAAAAAATCCAACGTTTTCGATGGCAGCGTAATTAATTTCCGTTTAGAAGAAAGCCAAACATCAAGGCGAAAGTTATTTAGGATGTAGATAAACCAAACACGAAAAGTCATTAATGTCAAGATTAGTCCAATTAAATATACAAAATCTATCAAGAAGAACTAGAAATTGATAAAGACGAAGTAATGTGTAATCTTGAAGCTGAGACTCTAACAAATGATCCTAGATGTGAACGCATTAGCTGCCTTGCTAAGGAATATTGAGGAGTAAACGAGAGGTAGCTTGTCAAGACTTATAGGTGCAGTATACCATCGGGCCATTATCATGGCTGCATCGGCGAGTGAAAAGCAATGGAACTCAGTACTCACCTACGACAACCAGATAGGTCTACTTCGTGCGTTCCCATATACGGCTAATTCGAAATTGCTTTCTTTGATATGGTTAAGTGGAAACACATTTTTGTATTCTTCTACTCTATTTAGCGCAGATTTAAATATGTTTGCGCTTAGATTTTTTTGGTCAGCAACTAATGTAAAGTCTGTTCATTTCATTTTCTCATTACATCATAATCAACGTTAATTGTAAATGAGAACCATATTGTAATTAATTACAAAGCATTTTGTTCTGGTATTTATTTGATACGAGCAATTCTTTCGCAATACTATATAATATTAAACATTGTTATCCCAATTAAGATTACGAAATCAATATTTAACTGTAATTCAAATAATGACGTAGTTAAACGGACAATCGTTTTTTTTTGCACACAGATGTATAAAAACAGCGTATCGGCAAACATAATCATAGTCAAGAGCCATCGTCAAGTCTGCAATCACGGCAACTCAAAATTTTATTACCGGTAATTTGGCTTTCCGTTCCAAACTGACGCTTGTAAATATTTTTTTATCGTTTAAATTGATTAGAATGAAGAATCTGCGTGACTGACATCATACAGACCGATCGAATTTTCACGACGATTTGTTTTAAATTAGAATAGTAGAATTGGATCGTAAACCGCAAATATCGGAGTCAGTTTCGCGCTAACACCCAATGCGAATGTGGCTCCCTCGTTGTTTGAAGCGAGTACGTCATAATTACTCTCTAAAGGCCTTGTCTGATAACATTGGTGTGATGGATGCGTCCTCAGTGAATGTAGGCGAGATAAACGCATTCACACGACATGTGCAACAATTATTATGTTCCACAATAAAACAGCTGAAACCTCGAACTGGTATTCTTGTGAAACCGCACAGATGTTTAGTAGAATCTTGGCTTATTTCGAGTCGACCAGACGTGTAAAGTCAACGTCCATTCACTCGTTTCCGGACACAACAATAATTTTCGCTAGTTCACGTTGAAGTTCTATGGCTCATAAATAAATACTTTGAAATATGTAAATTGAGTTTCGGATCGAACGATGACCGCTATTAGTCTTCAACGAACGGTTCTTAAATTATAGCGAACTTGTGATTTTATGAATTTACAACAAACTTTTTGATGGGTTCATGTTCAAAGCAGAGTTTATTCTTAGCTAGATATCATGGCAAAACAGTCCAGATAGTATTATAAGTAAACAAGTACAGTGAGTACTCCACTGACTAGCCTCAATAATCAGTCATGTGTATGATTCATTCTACGAACAACGCACCAGTACCTTTGGACTTTGGTAATGTTACTGTCAACGTTGGAAAGAACTACAAAATTCTTTCAAAATTTACACGTTATTATCTATAGCCAGTTGGCAAAGATGCTCCCTGATCCCTCTGGCTCGTAACCTTGACAAATCCTATTGTGTATTACGTAGTAACTATACAAGGAAGTACACCTGGACATCAGCTGTGCACTTAAGCTCCCCTTTATCGTAGTACCGGTGAGTGGGGTGGTCCTAATTGCCGTATGGACCGTTGCAAATGTCTTAATGTACGTAGTTAGGTTCATAGTTTGAGGAAATGAAGCGGTAGGGCCGCTCAGTGCTTAGCCGGTGGTCGGAACGTAAACCGTAGCCGCCCGCTAATCACGCCACTATTACGAAGATAGAAAAGGTGCGTTGGCGCACTGCAATCAAGAGATCACTAACACAGGCGAAATATTTTTTGTATTAAAACAAATTTATGGTTAAACAACATAATGTTTCTTAACGTTGTTAAAGTAATTATATGTTCAGAAACAATAAAACAATAGAGGCACTATTAAAGTATTTTTAATGATAAAATCGAGTTTCGTTATGTTGACAAAAACTGTTTATCTTTTGCTCGTCAAATTAGATAAAAAATAACCTTCGTCAAAACAACATCAACGTGAGACATACCTAGTAGAAAAAAATTATAAATCGAACGTCTTAAAATGAAAAAATACTAGTTGCATAAACAGCTAAACTAAATTCGAGAACATTCAATTACATTTTTTTTCTGATCATTGCATACACATTATTTAAAAGTACTATTGATCAGCAGACAGTTCAGGAAACAAAATAACTTAGTTTTTCGTCGCACAGACTTGACATTGACCTCGGGATTTAAATTGAATAAGAAATAACTATTTACTAAAAACTCATTAAGTTACGTGTATACTTTAAGATACAGTTAGTCATAAAGAGAAGAAATCCACTTAAAACTAAACGCAAAAAATCGTAAAATACAATAAATAAACGTCAGAACTTCAAGCCTGGCACTAATTGAATGTATTTATTGGCGACTATGATCATCGATAAGATATCTATTTTACACTTTTAGATAGCTACGGGCGTGACTATTAATCGGTAGTTGTTCCAAAGTTTTAATTATCCCTCCAAGCAATTTCCGATGTGCACACTAAATTGATTTACCTATCTCTGCCTTACGAATAACCAAACCCGTTTTAAGATCCACGCAAAGCAATAAAATTTATTGAATGAAAAAATAACTCAACTAAAGTATGGACCGTCGTCGGCGGGTAAACCTTCGACACGTGTGAAGTTTGTACTCATCAATAACACAAATTTTGATCAAATTATTTACTCAAACTGACGTAAGAACGATTAATTAATTACCAAGTAACTTCACTTCAAACATCATTCGACTAAAACTTATTCAACAGAATTCAAATTTAATTTATTTTAAGTACGTATGTAGGTACATGCTAAACGATTGTCTTCTTGCAAATTTATTTCACTAGGTACCTACTCGTCGTATACGAATTCTTCGTAATTAGTTTATCCAACAAGTTTTTATTAACACCACCAAAGAAATGTTTAAAAATACTTACCAAGGATATCGTGCAAATTGTAAACTATTCGTATCGTTACTTCGATTCGTTTTTCGAATGCACGTTGCAATTAAAGTCCTCGCCAGAAAATTTTCCGGATCACTCAATTCCGCTCACTATCGCACTGTCACTTATCGAGCACGGCCGGCTTTTTTTTAAGTTATCACGCCAAAGTGTGTGCCTCCGTGGGAACGGTGCGTGGTGTCGATTCGATGGATCGGTGCGGACTGGCTGGCTATCGCACGCCGGCCGCCGACTCCGAAACTCGACTTGTGTTCACTAGACACAGAATAGGGGCATGCTGTGCATAATCGCCTCCGTGCATCGATATCATACAACTTTTGTTGTAAACTATTCACAAGTTTGTGCGTTGTAAGCCATTTACATGAGTCGCAATTATAATTAGTTTACTAAGCCAAATTATAAAAATAAACCTAGATATTTATTCTAGAAGTTTTGCAGTCTGACAAATTAGACTAGGTATGATACTAGTAATTTTGACAAACAACTCATAGCAAAAAGTGCTGAAAGCATTGACCGCAACATCGCGTGAATATAATTGAATCCGTGTAGTCGGTAACATGAAATATATTGTTCTTCATCAACTGATTATATACACACTGGCACACATGTCAGTGCTGGATTAGCACTGTGTCTAATTGTGGGAATACGCGCGTGTTCAACATCGCGCCACCTCTCAGCTATTCGCGCGCCTTTTACTACACACATTTTTTTCTCATTGAAAAGATGCAATGACTTTTTGGAACGATTATAAAGACGCGATAAAAGAATAATATAAGCAATTGTCGTTGTATTTCTAGTTATAATAAAACGTCAAATGTTATCAGTATTATATTTGACAAGCAACGTTAATACGAACTTGAGTAATTAATGTCATAGATATTCGATAAATTACTTTTTTTTAATCGAGCATCGGCAATCGAGCAGACGGATTACCTGATGGTAAGCAATCAGCGCCGCCTATGACACCCGCAACGGAGGAGTTACGAGTGCGTTTCCGACCTTTTAGGGATTAGGGATTTGGAGATTTAGGGATTGAGGAGGGATTGGGGGAGGGGAAGGATTGGGCCTCCGGTAACCACAATCACACGGCGAAACACAACGCTGTGGTTGTTTCACGCCGGTTTTCTGTGAGGCCGTGGTATCATTCCGGTCGAGCTGACCCATTCGTGCCGAAGCATGGCTCTCCCACACTTACATACTTACAAATTTCTAATTCCATTAACTTTTCTGTTCTTTTTAGGGGATCCTTATGAGACAATAACAGCTATACCTAATTGTATTTTTTTATTCTATGAAGAAGTTAGGAATACAATTAAATAGATAATGGCACTGCTTGGAGACTGTTTATCGGTAGTCTAGACTAAATTGTTTTGTTACAAACTATATTTAAATACAATTTCCCGCTGTCTTGTTTTTGAAATATTTATGATTACACAGAGAATCGGTTTCGCAAGATAAAATAATTCGAAATTGGGGTTTACAGCGTAAATTCTGTTATTGTTTTTAGTCCTATCTGTACATAAGAAACCAAAATTAACCAAACGTATACTTATTTATTGATACTCAATATCGGCCTCAATCGAATAAAAATATTCGATTGAGGTTTGAGGTCGATTTTGAGTCATATGCAATGTCTTGGATTGCACCTAGTATTTGCATGATTTCTGAAATATAGTAGTCAGTTTAGGTGAGAGAGTTATTTTTTTATTAATTGTGAAAAGAGGATTAAAAAGGTTGATTAGGTAACATTTATTAGGTATAAATAAAATTCATACCAACATCTTAAATTTACCACCTATAAATGCTTACAGCTGAGAAAAGGCATCTACTCACCCGGAGAAGGTACAGTATTGATCATTAAGCTTGCTTTAGGTGGACTGGCGATTTCCAAATTACGTTAGAATTTATTAGTGTAGGTCAAATATATAATGTACTAAAAAAGTATCATTGGCAAACTAGGCTTGCCAGGTTTTCAACTCGCTCCTATAATCTCCAAGGTTTTTACGTTTACACATTACTTTACACCTCGTTCTATCTTCTGTAGGTACCCGGCAGGGGACGCACCCGAAGCTGGGCAACAAGGAGGTTTTTGGTCAGTAATAATCTGATACTCTCTCTCTACCCATACATGGCGGCAGGAGGCATGTTTCAAGAGATGATTTTCCCTCAAAAAAGTAACCGATAATGCAAGAGAAAAAGGCTCTGAAACTGCAAGGCCGATGTGTTTTCGACGTTCTAAATCACAGAACCATAATATAATAATCTAAAACTTAAATTAATCATAATAATCAGGTCATAAGGTAAATAGGATACCTACTTGTTCAGAAATCACTGCAATTCAGCAGTTACTTTGACGAAGCAAACAAGTAGACTGGTCTAGAATAAATAACAAATCAGCAAAATTTTATTTGAATTAAAAATAAAATTTTGCTTCCAAGTCAATATTGATTCTCAACCGTGATTGGCTAGACAAAGTGGCGAGATTATTTTATGATGAATTTGAAAAAAGAAAATATGAAATTCTTACTTTATATGTATGTATTTTTTTGATGACAGTATTTTTTTTAATGTTGTGTGCAAGTATGACGTAATTAATTTTGCTTTGTATTCTTATTAAGCAACGAGCTCTCATTTAAGTAATTTGTTTATGTATAGGAATTAATCAGGTGATAATGAAATCAAACACAAAATTTTGTCTTACCACAGTGAACAATAGAAAGAATGAATTTATCAGTTTGAAGATTAGACCGACATCTCGTGTGACTAATATGACGTCGGCCAGAAAAATATCTGAAAAGACATTTTTATATTTTTTCAATAATATTTTATGTGACTCATACTTCGGCACAAATGGGCAAGCTTGACCGGGGTGACAAAAACACGCACTAATGACAAAAAATAAAGCCTTTGGCTAATGCAAGATTTTCTACCACAAGGCATTCCTACCTTCACCACACTTTTCCACTTCATTCTGTCTTGAATTAGTAGGTAATAAAAACATTATTCCAAAACCGCTAGAATATCTTATATTAATATTATACATACTAAAGAAAATTTGCCACCTAAAAGTCAAAGGGTAACTAACGACTGCAGCGAACTCCGAAATTGCTAAGGGACCCAGAAAATATTATACATGTGGAAATAGCCGTACGCAATCACCATAAACCGAGTATGTCTCTTACTAAAGTAATATCAAAGTATAGGTAACTTGTTTACCCAAGAACATTTTTGCTGTAGAAAACTGAATTATGGACCTAAAAGGACAAAATATCATGTTTACATAGAAATAACTTTCCGCTCGTGACTTCCTCTGTTTTTGCAAAAGAAAGAAGCCTATTCACCACGCTTTACATTAAATATCTACGGAAAAAGTTGTTTATCAAAATACTATTCTTAAAATACATAATAACATAAGTACTTAATGCAATAAAAACCAATAATTTCCATTGATGAAATACTCTCTAAAAAGCCCTTTAAAATTGTAAAATGCGCGGAAAAATGCAGCCCTAAGGCACAATTTAACACACAAAGCAAAAATCTAAATAAAGTTTAAACAAACAATGAACAATGACTTTATTTTTGTAAGTAAATAGGCCCTAAAACAGCAGTTTTACACGTCAAAGCCTACTTGGCAAATTGACACTGGAAATGATATGAAAATACATGACATAAAGGTTCGTACATAACTCTTACCTCTCTGTCATAGCTACTCTCCGAGCACATTTTCAGACACCGGGCTGCAATTCTATCAAAAAATAAAGAAAACAATGAAATAATTATAACAACTACAAAATAAAAAACATTAATAAAAGGAAAAATAATTTCTAAGCCTTTAGATCTCCCAAAACTTTAGACTCGGTATAATCGTTCTACTAAATGACTTCAGCTAAAGAAGCAGTCAATAAAAATCAATCAATTATAATTTCATATTGACAAAAGCAGATGTATAGAATATTCCTGTCATTGAAAGGACTTTCATAACTGCATTAAGTGCCTGCCAATTCCAAGATGGCGATGAACCTACAATGATTTTGCCATTGTCGATGTCAACAAACGTCGACGACCACTTATTATCTCGAAGTGGCCTGCAAAGTATCATTCCATGCTCCATTTATGCTCTCAATAAAATTGTTTTTGATAACAAAACAAAATACAATAAATGTTAGGGACCTTGATGTTCATACAATCGAATATTTTGATTGCGATACTTCCAGCTATTACCCTGATTCTAGTTCTTCGAAACTGTAGGTGTTAACACTTCCTTTTTGGCCGTCCTTGCAAAATTTTGACGTTCTTTTTATTTAGAAAAAACACTTCGATACATTCTTAGCCCTCCTATGAGGATCCCGCAGTGGAGATCCTAAAACCCTGTTTTCAAGAATTATCTACCTCATTTTTTTATTCATGTCGATACCTCAATTAGCAAACCAGAAATTTAACATTACAATAAAAAACAGGAAACTTCTCTTTAGAAGTTGTAATATTTTAATGAACACTAGAAAGACGCTAGAAGTTTGCTTTCGAAGTTTTCTAGTGTAAGGACGCTAGACAACTTCGAAAGAAAATTTATAAAAGATATGACTGTATTAAAAATATGAATTTAGGTTAATACCTACCAACGGTAATTTAGATTTATTTATAAGTAGTCAACACAAAATATTATAGACTTTTAGGTGACTACTAATGAGTTAGATTATTTGCCAATTAAGATATCGAAGTGTATTATTACATCATATTTCGTATCTGAAATGAGGTTTTTTGATTTTCAAAATTCTCAGTATCTGATTTTAATCAAAATTCTGGAGGTCGAAAATTCGGTTTCTACATCTTACCCACTGTTCACCGTACCGTGAGATTCATTGTTTATCTTTATTTCAATATACTTAATAACTAAGAAACATTATTTTAATCAATATAAAATGCAAATACAGTCATTAACAAATCGACCAACACAGACATTTTGAATCGTAGTTAGAGAAATTTAAGAGTGTTAATTGCTTGTAAGGAGTTTGGATAGATGTTTTACCGTTAGGACCAGTAAAGGACGTATCTTAATTGCTTTGAAATAATCAGTGAGCTTTTAAGTTTTGTCGGCGTGAGAGGAAGGGGTCCTTCTGTGGCGCCATCGACGTACCATAATGTGTAACACTAAGCGGCTCTTCACATATTTTATTCCACTTGTCAATAAAAATCTGAGACATAAAAATTGAAATAGAAATCCAAATATTTTTGAAGCTTTAGTTACTCCTGAACAAA